TACAATTAACATGAAGACTCCAAATGAATCAAGGAAGTTAATGATTAACAATGATGCGTTTTCAATAAAAACTTTTTATTGTTGTTAGATAAATATTTCGTATGTTTTTAAATTGTCTGCTAAAATTAGCTATCCAAAAAAACAACAATTACAATTGTTTTTACTAGACATTTTGATACTTGCAGAAATTAATTTTGGATTCATCGAGAAAAAAAATTATGAGAAATCACATATTTTACGAAGATAATAAGTTATTATATTACTTTCATTATTTTAAAACATAGTTTTTTATAATTAATATGTTTCTACTTTTTTTTGCACTATAACTTATGCATAGTAGGACTGTATCGTCAAAGATATTAATTGTCAAACCTGAGAGTTGTCTTTAATATTACGATTAACTTGTTAGTCACATTTGCACAGAAGGAATCAAAGTATTATTTAATATAAATAGTGTATATAACCGGGATGGCAAATCCATGGCACGCAAAAAGATTTTGTGTGCACGCGAAAATTTTTATTTATATATATATATATATATATATATATATATTGTATAATATATAATATTTTAGGACTTATATAATATCTACCTATTATAATAATTTAATATAAATAATTAACAAAGCAATATTATTATTATTATTATTATTATTATGTACCTAAATTCAACTTTTTATACTAATACATTAATTATACAACAAATTATAATATAACAAAATATATTTTTAAAATTTTTTTTATGGAACGCTTTATAAAAAAAAAAACAAAAGTAATTTTGGGCACGCAGTGTTCAAAAGGTTTGCCATCCTTGGTATATAGTATTAATTGAACATTTGAACATGCAGTAATATTCATCAAATAATATTTTTCTAAGATTTAACTTATAATTAACTAAATATATAATAAATATGTTAAATATATAATTTATAGTTTAAGTAATTCAGATTTAATTAAATGCAATAATGTTTAAAAAAATTCTTTTAATGATTGAAAACATTTTCCAAAATTATAATTTCAGAAACCTATGTAATAATAGTTTACGACTAAACACTAGATCACTAATTTATAATTAATATCAAAAGCATACAAATAATTTCACATAATATAAATACGTATACACAACAATGTTTAGGAATAAAAATAAATATGATTTTAAATAATTATAATACAAAGAATTATTTTTTACCATTATTTAGGTTTATGAAAATATTTAAACTAACAGGATAAAGAATAATGAACCATAAAGGAGACCCCCTATGAATTATAAATCCAATAAAAATGTACTCTATGAACTATTATAGAGGAAAATAATGGGCTTTATATTATACTGGAGCGGCAATTACTTATATGATAATGAAAACTTAGTTATACCACTATAACTATGCATTAGTACAAATTAAAAATAGATTTTTTTTAAACAATCAATTTTTAAAGAATTTAAATTTTTTTCAATAGCTAAAAAATAATACGGGTACAATATAATGGTTATTATGTTGTAAATTGTAATTATTTAATGTTATACAAAATAGTAAATAAAATATTAAAAATTAAATTTATTTTTCATACATAACGGGTCTTAAGTAAAAATAATAATATATTAGTAAATATAGTTCGTTAGTTTAGAGTGATTACATAATTATAATTCGTTATATACAAAGTTAATCCTTAATGTCTACCAAATGCATTTTTATTAAAGCGTTATATATATTTTTACTCATTTATTCTTTAATATGATATTAATGTAAAAACAATATCAAAATACTATTCATTGTTCAGTATTAATATTTGTTAATGTCTGAAATCGACATAAAATTTTTTTTCTGAGAATTTCTAATTTCTTCTCATTTCAGATATTTATTTATATATTATATACATATATAACTAAAGTTAACAAATATAAAATTAAATTAAATTATAAACATTATTTTATACTTAGCTTTCTGCAAAATTCTAGTTTTTTTAATACATCACACGATACAATCATTGAAAAAATAATACAGATTTTGAAAAGATAAAATTTTGTAAAAAAAAAAAAACAACCACTAACTAATATCACTGATTGATGATAATTTCTTTTAGAAATACGAGTACAATAGATTTCTAAATTTTTTACATTACGAGAACACAAGTTACGATGTTATCATTAAAAAAAAATTACCAAAAATTAATAAACATTTGAATGTAATAATAATAGAGTAATAAACTTTACCGTTGCGTTCACGTTAACCGTTGCTGATTGCAGCATCACTCTGCATCAATAGGAGTCTAATAAAAAATTTCAAAAATCAATAGCCACGAGAAGCCAGATGATAGCGTACGGATGAGATGCGTTATTACCGATTGTGTTCTTTCTTTCACATATCATTAAGATGAGATCTACGCTGAATGTCATGACGGTAACTACCGTAAAAAATATGTAACTGTACAATTGATTAATTATAGCGCGTAGATTATAATTAGGGTCAAAAGAGCCATAACTCTTATCAACTGTATGAATAAAAATGTTTAGTTAATATAATTTGGATATGACATACTGTAGACAGAGATATTAAATGTCCTAACAAATTTTCTAATAAATTATACAAAATTTTTATAAATAAATTTACTCTTAATAAAATACAAGATATTATATATATATATATATATATTAGAGGTCTTCTAACTACTACGACCCGCAGACTGCATTCAACCCGTGAACAAGTTTTAACCCCCCCCCCCTTCCAAACAAACGGTGAATAATCTAAAAATATGTGTAATATACAGTTTTTTTTAAAATATTTATGAATATATACATTTTTATACAATTAAAAATAACATGTGTTCATGTTTTTTGGCCCGTTAAAAGCTTTTGTTATTTTATATGGCCCTCAAGTGTAAAAGTTTGGAGACCCCTGTTACTTATAATGCGATTATAAAATTGATAATTTAAAAATATATACATATTATTGAATATAGTACAGGTGACACATGAGGAAGGTAATGGTATAACATTTTCTTGTCTAATTTTCAAAAGTAGCATGACTTATCAATGTTCGTTAATAATATTGAGTTACTCTTTGTTTCTATAGTTTTAAGAAACCATATGATGAATAAGACGGACGTCATTTTTCAAGGCTAATGCGATTTTTTATATCATTTTTAAAAATCTGAAGTAACTGATTCAGTGGTGCCGAAACTTATACTGAAGTTAATCAAAGGTCCAACCAGGACCCGACATCTTATGAAAATTTAGGATATAGACCCAGCATATTAAGTTTGGCTGCCAAACCGTATGAAAGCTTCATTAGAAAATTAAAACCGAACAATATTTTTTGGGTTAAAACTATTATGCCCCCCTTTCCCCGGGAACCCTTTAGGGTCGATATTTCGATATTGTAGTTTTTTTAAATATGTTCGCTCAACAAAATTTTTAGACCTTCGACTCTATTGGACTGCATAGACACAACTAGGAAGAAGGTTGAGGAGGCCTTGGAATTTCTATAGCTCCTAAAAATCTAATGACTTCATAACTTGTATTATTATGACGCAAAAACATCTAGAATATACCTGAACTTCAACCCCCCCCCCCCCAAATTTCAAACACTATTTGCACTTATGCTAGACTGATTGATTTAAGTGTCATAATATTTCAAAAAGTCGTAAGAAAATCTCGACTAGTAATATTCAGAATAAAGTTAAATTTATACTTAATTATGCAATGAGAGTTATACATTAGTACACATATGTTGGTAGGTTTTAAATATTCATCTCAAGATACTGTTCTGCTATATATGTGTTCAGCGTAAACTGTGTGATGCATACCGAACAGGGCAATCTCATTGGCCGCTTTTATTTGTAACTTAGCTTTGTTAACACGTTACCAGTTTTAACCCGATATCTAACTATATTACTGTGACACCGTGTGCTTAGTGTGATCGCTAATGTCGTTGCTAATTAGTGATGCTTGATTAGTTATACGCTATAAATTAAACGTTATAAATACCAAATTAATTTTATTGAAGGTCTATTAAAATATAATAAATGTATATTCCCTAACAGTGAAAGACATAGCATATACGTGACGCGGTGGTAGTTGAATAAAATGTTTGTAAGTAACGCGTTAGGAACATTATGTTACCTATGTAATCAATGGACAACACGCGTTTTAGTGGGAACATGGGAATAACTAGAATTAAATCATTAAAGGGATATAGTCTAGACTCCTGAATAATTTAACATAAACCATTTTAAGTATTCAAATATTTTACTCGATTTGAATTGAAATCGACTGTCGACACACTGTTCAAACCAGATATCGCTTGCACATTTTTTTTAGTACAACAATAGAAGAATAATTACCGTTCCAAGGGCGAGAAAAGGTTCGAAGCGTCCAACAGCTTAATAATCGGATTCAGAATACAGCTGCAGCAGACGAGCTCATATGCGTTCACTGCCCACTGGTATATGTATATTAACACAAAACTAATGTAAGCTCTAAACGATTCCTCGGTGTTTTGGTGGACCGGTGAATCCGTCGACACGTCCGCAAACGTTACACGGAACAAGAAACTACCAGGCGACGAAGACAACAATACTGCACTTGGGCGCGTGTTTGTCAATTCGACGGACGTTCGAGTCCGAGGGGAAGTGCGTAGAGGTTGTCTCCGATTCCTTATGCCTATCATAATATTAATGCACCTATTAATGCACCGCAACCGATACGAGCACACACCGCCGCCACTTGCACCTACCGGTTTTCAGGAATGCATGCGTGCCCGTGGCTGGTTACGACAGGTTTACCGCCAATGCGCGTTGTCTATTTGCCTACACAATACGGGGTCACCGACATTTAGCCGACCGAACCATGGCACCGGCACGGTAAGAACTTGATAACGAGGGCCCCCGCCGACACGATTTATTTATACGTTCTTCGCTCGTAACGTGCAAGCGAGCAACACGCGTGCGACGACGTACACTCGTGTGCAAGTTGCGCGCCGAACACTTGTGTATGCGCTCACCTGGCTCTGAACGTCGTCTTGGTCGATCCAAGGGCAGTGTTCTTCTTCTTCGGCCGTCACCACCCTGTGTACCATCTGCAACGGCGACAGAGGGAACGCGCGATGGATTACACCGCCGAGTGTTGAGGCTGTTTACACACGTAGCGTGTGGAACTCGCGCGGGAATCGCGTTAGGCTCGTCAAACAGGTAAACAATGGATACGTGCAGCGGAGTAGGTACGTGCGATTTCGTCAGTGAACGCGAACCGTGTAGTAACAGCAGCGATGATAACAATAACGCCTAATAGTAACGACAAAAGTTCAACGAGTTGGACGACGGAGCGATCGAACGCGTTTGCCCGGGCAGCGTACAATTATTATTATAACGATTATTATTGTACCGTTGGTGTTTTTTACCGATCGACGGGATCGGAATGGTCGTGTGGGTCGCGCGGCGAATGAAAACACACGTTGGCGGGCGGAGCGTTGTTGTCGGCGACGAGTCGGACCGCGTTCTGATTTCCCGTGCTGCACGCGTTCGCTTTTTATTCGTATAAATAACGTACACCGTTGGTCGCCGCCGCATCGTCTCGTATTTTCCGGATGTGCACGCTTGGCGGCGGTCGATACGATGGGTGAGGCGAGTCCCGGGGGGAGAAGGGAGCGCGTGGAGAATCTTTTCGGGATGACGGTGGCGAACGGCGCCGCGCGACAACCGCGGTGGTGGTGGCTGAGAAAACGCGGTATCCGGACCGGCGCGGCACGGACGTTATATATAATACGCGTGTAAACATTACCGTTTGTGCACAGCGAACGGGACGCGCAAGCGTGATCTCGACGCGTGTGGATAACTCTTCTCTCCCCCACTCGCTCCGATGCAGGCACGCGAAACCGTGACGTTGCTGACGTCGCCGCAGTCGCTGTGCGCTAGAGGTTTTTTTTTTCCTCGACTTAATCGACTCTGGAATGCGGCCAAGACCTTATGTCGCGGCCGAGTCGTCGCCGTTCGTAGCATTGGGCAGAGTTCATGAAATCGAAACGTGTACACGAAAACCGGGCACCGGCGGCAATGTAAAAAAGCAGTGCAATAACGGAAGCTCGTCGGACCAATCGACACCACCGCCTTCCGTTCGGACTGAGTAAACAACACGTGTTTGCGTGCTCGCGATGTTCGAACTTCCGCGCGCCCGGGGCCCGCCCGTCTTAGAAAATCCAAGACTACGTGGGGGTAGGGGTTGTAGTGTATCCAAACAAACGTAACTCATGTTCAAAATATAATCATTAACAGTGACTTATATTACTGATATGTAGTGACAGTATTATTTTGCGCAGACATAGGAGAAAACTACATGCCCTAATATGTTTACGTATGTCTCTAAAAACATAAAAAGAAATGTAGATAATTTTTTTTTAACAATTACTTCTTTAGTGTTAGAATTTTTTTTTTTTTTTTTACGGAAGATCAATATAATTATAAAATGTAAGTGTACATGAGCGGTTGAATAATAATATTTTCGATATAGATCCTACTCGTAATAAAACATGTTTCGACGAACTATGTCGACTAAAATACATTTTATTCTTCTGCTTTTACGAACAAAATTAGTTAGACTTTCTCAGTCTGTTATATCACTGATGACGATCGTCAGAGACGCACTTCCTGTATTAGTCGTTCGTAGAAAATGTATCATTAGCACGGACAGGGGTGTGCCTAGACATTTTTTTTCTGAGGGTCAAATATTTTTACTACCACGTATTCCAAATGTATTTATTCAATAAGACGATAATTTTTGTAGAAATTAAATTCATAGTACTAGATAGCTAGACAATGAATTATACAAATATTAATTTAATTTAATTTGCTATTAAGCGATCCTTTTTTTCTATTTTCGTTAAAATTTTGGGAGAGGAGGCTTGAACACACAAACTCACATCTAGGTATGCCCCTGAGCAAGGAGAATCTCTACGTTTATTTGATTCAGTTTGATCGATTGTTTTTAATTTCAATTTTCAACATGAATTGGACAATAATTGAATATTATACCTTACATAAAATATTAGAACGAGGATTTCGCGTCTAAATCCTAACTATTGACATACGTAATTATGTCAAGTGGGCAGCTGCAGGTTTTGACATCTAAAATACAAGGACCTATTCTGAAACGAGTTGTAAAATGTATATGTCTTGTTATACATACGTAAAAATATTATATACACTGTAATAAATAATATAAATACTCGTATAACGTTAATTTTTGATAAAATGCCATTGACGTGGATGACAAAATCGTTATTGTGAAAGAGAATATTTTTTATTTTTTTTTGTCGATGGATAACATCGGCACACTACAACAAGAATTAAAATAGTTTAGTTTTGAAGTGTTACTCGTAGTACACGAATAATAAGCTTATATTATGTTATTATATTTGTGCGTTATTAATACAAATTAAATATTTGTATTCCACTTATTTTTTATTCTAATAATAGTAATAACTATTATTATTATTATTATTAATGGAAACATGAAATGAAATAGGTACACAAAATAATAATGAAATAACTTTTAATAGAGTGAGATATATTGTTGAGTTTTAAACTATTAGTTACTATTAGTAACTATTAATGTACAAAATGTAAAAATGGCAATTAAATATACATAAGAATTAAAAGTATATATTTTCTTTTTTTTTATGATTTTTCATTACTATATTATTAGTTCAGGGTTAAAAAATCAATAAACAGTTATATACGTGTATAATCTTTGAGCTGTAATGTAGAATTAAATAAGACGAAAAGATAGTCTCGATTTGAATTAAAAAATAGTAATTATATAAATAATGTATCTAAATAGTTAATTAGTTTTATGTATTTAAGCTATTAATTATTTCGCCATGAATAATGCATACATATTATTGTATTAACTAATAATAGACATTTAATTTTAATGAAATATGATGGTTACATTAATAGTTGTATACTAAAGCTCAAAGATACTAGGAAGAGACTCTTGGAAGTCAAGCTAAACAAACTATTTATCAGCTTCATCTACTCTCCCAAAGGAAAAAGTTTATCTTGTCAAATGCGAATTTATAAACTATGAAATTTTTTGCTGTATTTTTCTCATACCACATTTTAGTATAATTATAATAGCATATTCGTCTTACGTTGTTTTTCTAGACAAGTCATGCACGTCAGAAAACAACGTGCATGTAACTAAAGTAAAAGTAAATGATTATACGATATCGATAGAAATGTAATATAATGTTCTATGTAATTATTATTGAAGAATTTCAGTTTAATATATGTTAAGTGCATTGACTTACAACAAGATAATAACTACACATAAATCCTGTACAAGTTGTTGATCGTCATTACTCATTATAATTGTTATCATAAAAAAATCAGTATTGTAGGTATGCTTGTATACATTCAATATTGTCGTATATAGTATAAAAAATTAGGACATCACTTTTTTATACAATTGCAATAAATAATAGTATTTGGGAAGCTCTATTGAATTTTTTAATATTTGTTTAGTCATTATAATTTTCTTCATAAATTATGAAATATTTTATTGAAGATAATCCCTCTACAAATAATGTTGCAGCTAATATTGTATTGAGTCACATAATACTTTTTTTATAAATATTTTATTTAATTATTGATAGGTACCAATATTGATTGGTTAACATTTTAATGTTTATTACTCCGCCGAAAACAACAATTTTTTTTTTTTGATAAAATAATTTTCTTCCACAGATTTTTTTCGTATATTTACATATTTAATTATGTAAACAAATAGTTTTGTTATTTTTTAAATGTAAATAAAAATACAGTTGTTATTGTTTTAAGCATTTTTAACTTACAGCCTTAGAGTTAACTATTCATATTTTATTTTTATTGTTTTTTAAAAATGTGAATGCTTTTTATCTTATTTTGTGTGACGTATTGACTATTGAGCTTTAAATTTGATAAAATTCTATTGATATATGATTTGTTAAACAAACTGAATAGCTGAACAACAAATTTATTTATTGTTACATTTGTTATAAGCATTATATTTATTTATAATGTACATTATAAATATATATAATAACAATGAGTTATTTTTGTATTATTTTAATTCAATTTAGCTTCAAAATCAATTTAAAATAACATCAAATATTGAAGATGAAGATTTTATAAAAAATGTAGCTATTTTATTTTTTTACAATAATTACCATACCAAATTATCATACCACATAATTAAGATAAAGTGGGATATACCGAATGAATATTTAAGTGTAAAGCTTTTCGTTTAATTAGGAAATGCATCGATAGTATTTAAATTTTTTGTTATTTTGTATTATAAAATACACATCAAAAACGTTTTATTCTTTTATTTATTAAAAAGGAACAAATCTATCATTTTCTTGTTCAAAGGGCTAATGGCATTAAATAAAAAATTCTAATTTACATAGTTATAAATTAACTAGTTGGGGTTAAATAAGTATCTATTTTACATAGTTAATAATTAACTTTTTAAGGTAAAATGAGTATAAATCGTTAAAAATTTTAATTATGTTAACAACAATGAAAACTTGTTCTTGCCCCTGTATAATCTTACATTTTCATAGTAGCTTATAGTAAACTAAAATATAATAACTTTTCAATAATAATAACCATCGACAATTATTATTAATTTATATAGATAACTTTATATCAAATGAAATATAGTTTATAGTATTGCGGAAAAATAGCCTCATAGACATTTGATTTTATAGTAATTTATGTGCATACTAAATATTTAATTAAATACTCAATCAAATTATAACTCGTTTATTTAAATTTATATGAACTTTCACCAACTCCGTGCGTATGTTACCTGCATAATTAATAATTATTATTTATACTAAATCACTAAAACACGAGTGCACCTACGTCATAGACGAAACCACGCACTATGGTCAACTAGGTGGTCAACATGGCCTCATATGATTTCTGAACAAAAATCTACACAAAATGTACGTGAAAATTATATTGGTCTTTATCATTTACTTCTCATAGTAGTCAACTATGGATTTTGGTAAGGATCTCTAGGTTCAACAATATCAACAGTTGCGTTGTAACAGCAAGTTTTAATGTGAAGCCCACTAATCTGTTCGTTTAATGATGGAACAGAAAAACTAATGAAATTAGCTCGAGCGATTACAATTAATAAAATGGTTTCATATTTGAAAGTTGGACAGGAAAATGTTAAATTGTATATAATTTGATCATATTGATGCTCACTATTTATAATGAATTGATTGAAGGGTCGCTCTTCATCAACTTGCTGCTTCATGTCTATGTTGGAATCCACACGTGTATTCAGATGTTCGATTAGTTGGTTTAACAAATGTAAGCCAGCCATGGTGTGTCTGACCACTCTCAGGACGAAAAAGAGACTGACGTCTAATAGGGTACATTTTACACAGCGAAGGCGTATTCTGTAGTCGACCGTACAAAATCTAGCCTTGCCGTGTTTTATTCCAAGCAAGAAGCCTTAAAAGCGCTACCAACAATAAAAATTGATGAGAAATATACGTATCAATTAAATAAATATTTGATGATAGGTAAAAACCAATCATTTTGAAATCCTTTTTACATATCAAAAACATTAAACTTCTCAAAGCCCGGGACTCCTACCATGCTTTTAAAAGTTTATTGTTTTTTTTGTCGTAAAATATGTAAAGATTATTAACATAATTATTAGAATGGGAAAACATATCCAAG